GTGACCGCCAAGGGCAGCCTGGCCTGCGGGTGCCCCGGGGCCCCTCCTTTTGGTCACAGCCGCTCAGCCCCAGGCACCCTGATTTTTATTACGCGCTGGGCTTGCGGGGGAGTCAGCAGCTCGAGGCCGTAGGAATAAGCACACATCAAGCAGATGGGAGAGCAAAGGTCCGGGGCCATCCGGGAGCCGGGGAGAGCAGGAGGCCCCCAGCCACGGGGGGTGGCAGCCCCCCACGGCAGCCCCCCACCCGCGCCTCACAGAGGCCATCCTGTCCCCGGCACGCAGCCGGGCTTTTCCACCGCTGAGCCCACAGTGAAAACTCAGCAAATGGCCAGAGCTGGGACGTGCCCTCTGGGCGCAGCAGAAGCAGCTGGGCAGAGACCCCAAGACTGAGGCATACGAGCTGCCAGGCCGGGAAGCGCAGAGGAGGCCCTGGAGCGGGGCGGCCCGCGAAGCCCGAAGCCCTCCCTGCCGGGGTGCTCAGCAGGCCAGCCAGAGTAGATGGCCCAGCCCCACCGGGGTGAGGGGCGCAGGGCCTCCCGGGGCTGCCTGGCGGGGAAGGGAGGGGCACACGGGGGCCCCAGAACTGAGGGCGCTGAGGACGGTCAAGAGCTGGTGACAGCCACGTGCCTGCACAGCGAGGTGCGGCTTGTTCCCGCCAAGGGTGCAGGCCGCTGGGCCACCCCGGGCCCAGGGCAGGAGACGCCGGCCACAGGGGCCAGAAGACCTGGCCTCCGACCGGCAATCCGGCCCAGCGCGGGCTCCCCAGCAAGTCTCGCTCAGCCGGAACTCGCTGCAGGGGCTGATGGCCAGAGGGGGCAGGAGGCGGGGGCAGCCTGGGGCAGTCGGGGCTGACTTCCTCTGACCCTGCCAGACCCCTGGGGTCCCCACTTCTCAGCATCCGCCAGGAAGGGACAGTAGAGGTGGGGGAGGGGGACCCGGCGGGGGGAGTCTAGTGCCATCTGGCGGTCACTCGGTACACTGCGGACGAGCCCTGAGGTCCACGACCGCGCCGCGCCGCCTGGACGACGCCCGCCCGCAGCTCACTAGTGTGGAGTCACCTTATGGGGTCACCGGACAGCCAGGGGACTCTGGGGAATGCCGCTCCCAGGGTCTTTGAGCGAGGCCTCGAGGGGTCACACCCAGGCGCACAGCTGCTGCTCCCCGGGGTCGCTGGACTCTGCGGGGCGGCAGAGTCGGGGGCTCCAGATGGGGAGAGGCAGCAGCGGGCCGAGGCGCCGAGCCAGACGGGCGCGGGCGGCCGAGGCGAGCACGAGCAGTGGAGGCAGCGACAGAAAGCCGGACACGATGAGCGCCGCCGAGCCTCGGTCGGACAGCACCGCGCGGCAGGCGGGGCGAGGCGCCGGGTGGACCTGGGGGCCGAAGGGCAGGTCAGAGGGGCGGGGCCGGTGGGG